AGCCAGAGACACAGGGGAGCCAGAGTGACACAGGGTAGCCAGAGACACAGGGGAGCCAGAGTGACACAGGATAGCCAGAGTGACACAGGGGAGCCAGAGTGACACAGGGTAGCCAGAGTGACACAGGGTAGCCAGAGTGACACAGGGTAGCCAGAGTGACACAGGGTATACCAGAGTGACACAGGGTAGCCAGAGTGACACAGGATAGCCAGAGACACAGGGGAGCCAGAGTGACACAGGGTAGCCAGAGTGACACAGGATAGCCATAGTGACACAGGGGAGCCAGAGTGACACAGGGTAGCCAGAGTGACACAGGGTAGCCAGAGTGACACAGGGTAGCCAGAGACACAGGGGAGCCAGAGTGACACAGGATAGCCAGAGTGACACAGGGTAGCCAGAGACACAGGGTAGCCAGAGTGACACAGGAACGCCAGAGTGACACAGGGGAGCCAGAGTGACACAGGGTAGCCAGAGACACAGGGGAGCCAGAGTGACACAGGGTAGCCAGAGACACAGGGGAGCCAGAGTGACACAGGATAGCCAGAGTGACACAGGGGAGCCAGAGTGACACAGGGTAGCCAGAGTGACACAGGATAGCCAGAGTGACACAGGGTAGCCAGAGTGACACAGGGGAGCCAGAGTGACACAGGATAGCCAGAGTGACACAGGGTAGCCAGAGACACAGGGTAGCCAGAGTGACACAGGATAGCCAGAGTGACACAGGGGAGCCAGAGTGACACAGGGTAGCCAGAGACACAGGGGAGCCAGAGTGACACAGGGTAGCCAGAGACACAGGGGAACCAGAGTGACACAGGGTAGCCAGAGTGACACAGGGTAGCCAGAGTGACACAGGGTAGCCAGAGTGACACAGGGTAGCCAGAGTGACACAGGGTAGCCAGAGTGACACAGGATAGCCAGAGTGACACAGGGTAGCCAGAGTGACACAGGGGAGCCAGAGTGACACAGGGTAGCCAGAGTGACACAGGATAGCCAGAGTGACACAGGATAGCCAGAGTGACACAGGGTAGCCAGAGACACAGGGGAGCCAGAGTGACACAGGGGAGCCAGAGTGACACAGGGTAGCCAGAGTGACACAGGATAGCCAGAGTGACACAGGATAGCCAGAGAGACACAGGGTAGCCAGAGACACAGGGGAGCCAGAGTGACACAGGGGAGCCAGAGTGACACAGGGTAGCCAGAGTGACACAGGATAGCCAGAGTGACACAGGATAGCCAGAGTGACACAGGATAGCCAGAGTGACACAGGGTAGCCAGAGACACAGGGGAGCCAGAGTGACACAGGGGAGCCAGAGTGACACAGGGTAGCCAGAGTAACACAGGGGAGCCAAAGTAACACTGGGTAGCCAGAGTGACACAGGATAGCCAGAGTGACACAGGATAGCCAGAGTGACACAGGGTAGCCAGAGACACAGGGGAGCCAGAGTGACACAGGGGAGCCAGAGTGACACAGGGTAGCCAGAGTGACACAGGATAGCCAGAGTGACACAGGATAGCCAGAGTGACACAGGATAGCCAGAGTGACACAGGGTAGCCAGAGACACAGGGGAGCCAGAGTGACACAGGGGAGCCAGAGTGACACAGGGTAGCCAGAGTAACACAGGGGAGCCAAAGTAACACTGGGTAGCCAGAGTAACACTGAGGAGGCAGAATAACACAGGGGAGCCAGAGTAACACTGGGTAGCCAGAGTAACACAGGGGAGGCAGAGTAACCATGGGGAGGCAGAGTAACACAGGGGAGGCAGAGTAACACAGGGGAGCCAGAGTAATACGGTGGAGCCAGAGTAACACAGGGGAGCCATAGTAACACTTGGGAGGCAGAGTAACACAGGGGAGCCAGAGTAACACAGGGGAGCCGGAGAAGCGCAGGGGAGCCGGAGTAGCGCTGGGGAGCCGGAGTAGCGCTGGGGAGCCGGAGTAGCGCTGGGGAGCCGGAGTAGCGCTGGGGAGCCGGAGTAGCGCTGAGAAGCCGGAGTAGCGTTGGGGAGCCGGAGTAGCGCTGGGGAGCCGGAGTAGCGCTGGGGAGCCGGAGTAGCGCTGGGGAGCCGGAGTAGCGCTGAGAAGCCGGAGTAGCGTTGGGGACCCGGAGTAGCGCTGGGGAGCCTAAGTCACACAAGGGGAGCCGGAGAAGCACAGGGAAACCATTGGAACACAGGGGAGTAAGGGAAAGCACATTGAGTTGTGGAAGTGTGGACACACTCGATGGTTGATGGGTTCCATTGTGTATAAGGTGTGAGTGTTGACGCTCTAACTGGCTTGGGTCCCTTGCTCCTCTTGGCTGTGTCTTCCCTCTCCCGGTGTGTGTCATGGACACTGGTAGCTCTCCTCTCCTCTCTTTCCTCGTCTTCTCTCTCTCTCTCTCTCTCTCTTGGCTGTGTCTTCCCTCTCCCGGTGTGTGTCATGGACACTGGTAGCTCTCCTCCTCTCCTCTCTTTCTTCGTCTTCCATGTTCTATGCTGGGCTATCCTGTCCACATTCTTTATGTTCTTCATTCGAAAAATTGTCTTCATCCTTGTTCTTCCTGACCTTTATGTTCTACCCGTACGCCAAATCTGTCATTATGCCTGTTCTTCTTTTGTCTCTTATGTTCTACTTTCTTGTTCGCTTCATGTTGTTCTTTTAGTATTATTGTTTCACTAAAATCAGCATATTTGTGTTGTATTAATCTTCTTTATCGGTCTATTCCTTCGTTTATATTTTCTTGCTGACTTGCTGTATTTTGTTCTGTATTGCTGCTTGTTTCTCTGATTCTCTCTTTTTCCTTCTTATGAATATAACTGTTGTTAGGGTTATCCCTTGCATACCAGTGGACTCTGCTCCGTCCTACTGTCTTCCACAACAGCATGCTATATATATATATATATATTAGCGTACTAGTGGCTTTACAAGAATATAATTACTGTGCTATGTATCCTCACAATTCAAATGTACCTTCTTGTATATATATAAATAAAAAAATAAATAAAAAAATATCAACATCAAGAACTGCCAAAACGTTTTGACAATGGGCTCCCCACCCCTTGCCATCCCACGAGAGCTGGCCGCCCGAGGCTTGCCGGCTCACACTTCACCACCAGCTAACAATCATTATCCTGCCGGCTCATCGTTTCAGACCCCTCACTTCCAGCCCACCTGAAGTCACCACCCGTGTATACGCGCTCCTGCTGGTAGCATGGAGCGTCTCACATCTTCTAGTGCTCATTTGGGTCTCTTGCATCTTCCTTCACTCGACGTGTCTACGACGTGTGACGGAGGACGCTCAGAGCAATTGTATTAAGTGTACAGTCACCGTAGATTTAACAATAAAGTTACGTAAAATATTAATTGGCCTTTGATAAGTGTTATGCCAAATTTGAGGGTTTTGTATCATTATTTGCTTAATGTTATTTTGTATAAAGTTTATCATTATTTAAGTAAAGATTTTAAAGGTTTATCTCGTTTTTCCCCAGCAATCTATTCACACCATAAAGGACATAAGAAGTTTTATTTTATTTTGTTTTCTACTTTTTTGCTGTTGTTTAATGTGCGTCTAGTGCACTCCATCTGCCAGGTAGTAGCTGCGTCACCTCGAGCACGTCACACTATCTGTTTATCTACCTATGTATCTACTTCCCTATATATATCTCTCTGATTTCCCTCACCCGTTCTATTTTAATCTGTGTTTCTACCTTCCTATCTCTATGATTCTCTCTCTCGTTCTAGTTCCTTATTATTCATCTACCTTCCTATCTAACACCCTATCTATATACCTCTCAATCAATTCCCCTATCTATCTCTGATTCTCTCTCATCCTTTTTATCTACCTAACTCCCTATCTACCTCTCTATC